GAGCGTAGTCTTTCCAAGCGTTATACGCAATTGCTGGCTCTTCACTGAATTAGGGATGTTGGGTGTTTAAATATCCAAGTGAGCCACCTAACTCTGCGGAGAATCGACCCATTTGGATTTGCATTTGGATGAAAGCAGATGTTCGGCTGTGTATTTTCTTTGCATCATCTTTTAGACGTATAATATTCATTTCCAAATAAAATAGAGAAGACAGGTTTGCCAGCGAAGGTGAAAGGAGGAGAAAGTTGCCCATCATTTGATTTTAAAGGAAAATGGGAAAGCTGAAAACGCTTTTGTCTTAATTGATGAAATGCACCGACAGCAGCTTGTTCGCGGGCATAAATATGTTTTGGGCCCGACTCAGAATCATTTTAGCCCGAACCGCTAGGCAAGGGTTACTGCGCCTTTCAATAACACGCGGACTCTAAAATTCAACATGCTTTTTTCGCTACCGTCAATCAAATGTTCGGCGGCTCCTCCCAGCTTCCGACTACTGCCGAGCACGCGGTAATCAAATCTAATTGTTGAGCAAAGTTCAGACAACATAGTCGGAAGTTGGGAGGAGCCGCAGAACATTTGATTGACGGTAGCAAAAATCGCATTTGTCGGTTGAGCTTTGAATTTTAGAGTCCGCATGTTATTGAAAGGCACAGTAAAATAAGCTCTGAGAAGGGCCCAAAACATATTTATGCCCGCGAACATAAACTCTGTTACTATTATTATAACTTTGGAGGGCAAAAAANCAATCATTGCTTTGTTTCAGCCCGCCAAAATCTCCATTTTAGCTCGCAAAATGCACCACAATTCTAACCGGTAGACCGACTGTCCTTTTTTCAACGGAAACAAAATCCAGTCAGGAAACCAGATGCTAGGTTATATCTAGTAAACAAGAGAATGCGATCTCAGATCATATATGTCGTGTAGTTAATTAGTCTTTTCAACCTGTCAATTATTCGTGCAATCGACGTGCTTGGGGTAATAATATGGGGTTATAAAGAGCGTGTCTCTTTTCAATCTGTCAATCTGCCATCTATTGGAGGTGTTTAAGGAAATATTAAAGAATTATGAAAAGCGTTTAGACTGTTCGCCAGGCAATAATTAAGAAGCCGTTTTACTGTACAAAGAAATTTAGGCACTGGTAGTTAATTAGTTTTGTGTCGCAAAAGTGTCCTAGGGTTTAAATTAGTATAACGTACTGCAAATACCTATCTTGAAGCTCGATATGACAACAGAAAACTCAACTGGAGATGGACGGCCGAAGGCAGGTGAACAACTGTTATGTTCTGGATCTCTATATCTATCACGCGTAATCCGCCTTTGTCCAGGTCCTGATGTAGTCTAGACTACGAGTAGACCCTCTTTCGCTTAGTCTGTCGTGCTTGACGCGATACAAAAAGGCAGTGTCCAGTGCAACATGGCTGCAACTGACGCTGGTCGCTTGTTATCTACCCTATTGTATAGTAGAGGCTTTGTGGACTCGTAATGGACTATCTTCATCTATGGTTAACTCTTGGAGTTATGCAATCTCCTTAGGTTCTTTAAACTCGTCATTAAATCCGATTCTTTACTATTGGAAGCTAGAGGAAGTCAGGCAAGA